CTGGAGTCTCTGTTGGTGCTAGAGTCTTTGTTGGTGACGGAGTGTCTGTTGCTGATGGAGTTTTTGTTGGTGCTGGACTCTCTGTTGGTGATGGAGTCTCTGTTGGTGCTTGTGTCTCTGTTGGTACTAGAGTCTCTGTTGATGATGGAGTCTCTGTTGGTGATGGAGTCTCTATTGGTGTCAGAGTCTCTGTTGATGATCGAGTCTCTATCGGTGATGGAGTCTCTGTTGGTGATGGAGTCTCTGGTGCTTGAGTCTACTGTGGTGATGGAGTCTCTGTTGGTGTCAGAGTCTCTGTTGGTGTCTCGCATGATGGAGTCTCTGTTGGTGCTGGAGTCTCTGTTGGTGATGGAGTCTCTGTTGGTGATGGAGTCTCTGTTGGTGATGGAGTCTCTGGTGGTGATGGAGTCTCTGTTGGTGATGGAATCTCTATTTGTGTCAGAGTCTCTGTTAATGATGGAGTCTCTGTTGGTGCTGGAGTCTCTGTTGGTGATGGAGTCTCTGTTGGTGTCAGAGTGTCTGTTGGTGATGGGGTCTCTGTTGGTGATGGAGTCTCTGTTAATGATGGAGTCTCTGTTGGTGATGGAGTCTCTGTTGATGATGAGTCTCCTGATGGAGTCTCTGTTGCGTGATGGAGTCTCTGTTTGCGTGCTGGACAGTCTCTGTTGTGATGAGTCTCTTTGGTGAGTCTTTGGATGCTTCTGTTGGTGTGAGTCTCTGTTGGTGTCAGGACTCTCTATTGTGTCAGAGTCTCTGTTGATGATGAGTCTCTGTTGTGATGGAGTCTCTGTTGGTGATGCTCTGTTTGAGATGGAGTCTCTGTTGGTGCTGGAGTCTCTCTTGTTGATGGAGTCTCTGTTGGTGTCAGAGTCTCTGTGGTGCAGAGTCCTCTGTTGTTTGATGGAGTCTCTGTTGGTGATGGAGGTCTCTGTTGGTGATGGAGTCTCGTGTTGATGAAGTCTCTGTGTTGATGGAGTCTCTGTTGGTTGGAGTCTCTGTTATGGGAGTCCTTCTTGGAGTCTCTGTTATTGATGGAGTCTCTGTTGTTGATGGAGTCTCTGTTGGTGTCAGAGTCTCTGTTGGTGTCAGAGTCTCTGTTGGTGTCAGAGTTTCTGTTGTTGATGGAGTCTCTGTTGATGATGGAGTCTCTGTTGGTGCTGGAGTCTCTGTTGTTGATGGAGTCTCTGTTGGTGACGGAGTCTCTGTTGGTGTGAGTTGTTTGTATGGAGTCTGTTTTGGTGATGGAGTCTCTGTGGTCTTGAGTCTTCGATGAGTCCTGTTGGTGATGGAGTCTCTGTTGTGAAGTCCTCTGTTGGTACTTGAGTCTCTGTTGATGATGGAGTCTCTGTTGGTGCTTGAGTCTCTGTTGTTGTCAGAGTCTCTGTTGATGATGGAGTCTCTGTTGTTATGAGTCTCTGATGTGTAGAGTCCTCTGTGTGTTCAGAGTCTCTGTTGATGATGGAGTCTCTGTTGTTTGGTGTGTGTCAGAGTTTCTGTTGGTGTCAGAGTCTCTATTGGTGGCAGAGTCTCTGTTGGTGATGGAGTCTCTGTTGGTGATGGAGTCTCTGTTGATGATGGAGTCCTGAAGGGAGTCTCTGTTGGTGATGGAGTCTCTGTTGATGATGGAGTCTCTGTTGGTGATGGAGTCTCTGTTAGTGATGGAGTCTCTGTGGTGGTGGATCTCTTTGGTGCAGAGTCGTGTGGTGCTCGAACTCTGCTTGTGCTTGAGTCTCTGTTGGTGTGGTCTCTGTTGGTGATGGAGTCTCTGTTGGTCCTTGAGTCTCTGTTGGTACTTGAGTCTCTGTTGATGATGGAGTCTCTGTTGGTGTCAGAGTCTCTATGGTGCAGAGTCTCTATTGATGATGGAGTCTCTGTTGGTGATGGAGTCTCTGTTGTTGATGGAGTCTCTGTTGTTGATGGAGTCTCTGTTGGTGTCAGAGTCTCTGTTGGTGTCAGAGTCTCTGTTGATGATGGAGTCTCTGTTGATGAAGGAGTCTCTGTTGGTGATGGAGTCTCTGTTGGTGATGGAATCTCTGTTGATGATGGAGTCTCTGTTGGTGATGGAGTCTCTGTTGGTGATGGCGTCTCTGTGGGTGATGGAGTCTCTGTTGGTGATGGAGTCTTTGTTGGTGATGGAGTCCTTGCTGTTGATGGAGTCTCTGTTGATGATGGAGTCTCTTTGATGATGGAGTCTCTGTTGTGTCAAGTCTCTATTGGTGTCAAAGTCTCTTTGGATGATGGAGTCTCTGTTGGTGATGGAGTCTCTGTTGGTGATGGAGTCTCTGTTGGTGATGGAGTCTCTGTTGATGATGGAGTCTCTGTTGGTGTCAGAGTCTCTGTTGGTGATGGAGTCATTTTTGGTGGAGTCTCTGTTGATGATGAAGTCTCTGTTAGTGTCAGACTCTCTGTTGGTGATGGAGTCTCTTTTGGTAATGGAGTCTCTGTTGGTGATGGAGTCTCTGTTGGTGATGGAGTCTCTGTTGATGATGGAGTCTCTGTTGGTGCTTGGAATCTCTGTTGATGATGAAGACTCTTTTCTTTTAGTTGATCCTGGGTCTCTGTGTGTCAAAGTCCTTTTTTAGATGCGAGTCTTCTGTTGCGGCTGTCAAATCTCTAATTGGATTGTTCACAGTCTCTTTTGATAATGGAGTCTCTTTTGGTGATGGAGTCTCTGTTGGTGCTGGAGTCTCTGTTGATGATGGAGTCTCTGTGATGACTGGAGTCTCTGTTGGTGATGGAGTCTCTGTTTGGTAATGCTGGAGTCATATTGGTGATGGAGTCTCTGTTGATTGATGAAGTCTCTTTGGTCAGACTCTCTGTTGATGATGAGTCGCTGTTTGGTTGATGGAGTCTCTGTGGTGATGGAGTCTCTGTTGGTGATGGGTGATGGAGTCTCTGTTGATGATGGAGTCTCTGTTGGTGCTGGAATCTCTGTTGATGATGAAGTCTCTGTTGGTGATGGAGTCTCTGTTAGTGATGGAGTCTTTGCTGATGATGGAGTCTCTGTTGGTGATGGAGTCTCTGTTGATGATTGAGTCTTTGTTGTGCGGATTCTCTGTGGTGTGGAGTCTCCTTTGTGATGGAGTCTCCTTTGGTGATGGAGTCTCTGTTAATGATGGAGCCTCTGTTGGTGCTTGAGTCTCTGTTGGTGATGGAATCTCTGTGGGTGATGGAGTCTCTGTTGGTGCTTGAGTCTCTGTTGGTAATGGAGTCTCTGTTGGTACTTGAGTCTCTGTTGATGATGGAGTCTCTGTTGGAGCTGGAGTCTCTGTTGGTGATGGAGTCTCTGTTGGTGCTTGAGTCTTTGTTGGTGTCAGAGTCTCTGTTGATGATGGAGTCTCTGTTGGTGATGGAGTCTCTCTTCTGTTGTGATCTCTGTTGGTAATGGAGTCTCTGTTGGTGATGGAGTCTCTGTTGGTGATGGAGTCTCTGTTGGTGATGGAGTCTCTGTTGATGATGGAGTCTCTGTTGGTGCTGGAATCTCTGTTGATGATGAAGTCTCTGTTGGTGATGGAGTCTCTGTTAGTGATGGAGTCTTTGCTGATGATGGAGTCTCTGTTGATGATGGAGTCTCTGTTGATGATGGAGTCTTTGTTGGTGCTGGAATCTCTGTTGGTGATGGAGTCTCTTTTGGTGATGGAGTCTCTTTTGGTGATGGAGTCTCTGTTAATGATGGAGCCTCTGTTGGTGCTTGAGTCTCTGTTGGTGATGGAATCCTCTTGTGGGTTGATGGAGTCTCTGTTGGTGCTTGAGTCTCTGTTGGAGTCTCTGTGGGTGAGTCTCTGTTGATGATGGAGTCTCTGTTGGTGCTGGAGTCTCTGTTTGGTGATGGAGTCTCTGTGAGTCTTTGTTGGTGTCAGAGTCTCTGTTGATGATGGAGTCTCTGTTGGTGATGGAGTCTCTGTTGGTGTCAGAGTCTCTGTTGGTGATGGAGTCTCTTTTGGTGATGGAGTCTCTTTTGGTAATGGAGTCTCTGTTGGTGATGGAGTCTCTGTTGGTGATGGAGTCTCTGTTGGTGCTGGAGTCTCTGTTGGTGATGAGGTCTCTTTTGGTGCTTGAGTCTCTGTTGGTGCTGGAGTCTCTGTTGGTGTCAGACTCTCTATTGGTGTCAGAGTCTCTGTTGATGATGGAGTCTCTGTTGGTGATGGAGTCTCTGTTGGTGATGAGTCTCTGTTGATGATGGAGTCTCTGTTGGTGCTGGAGTCTCTCTTGTTGATGGAGTCTCTGTTGGTGTCAGAGTCTCTGTTGGTGCCAGAGTCTCTGTTGTTGATGGAGTCTCTGTTGGTGATGGAGTCTCTGTTGGTGATGGAGTCTCGGTTGATGATGAAGTCTCTGTTGGTGATGGAGTCTCTGTTGATGATGGAGTCTCTCTTGGTGCTGGAGTCTCTGTTATTGATGGAGTCTCTGTTGGTGATGGAGTCTCTGTTGGTGTCAGAGTCTCTGTTGGTGTCAGAGTCTCTGTTGAGAGTTTCTGTCTGAGTCTCTGTTGATGATGGAGTCTCTGTTGTGCTGGAGTCTCTGTTGGATGAGTGTTGGTGACGGAGTCTCTGTTGGTGTCAGAGTCTCTGTTGTTGATGGAGTCTGTTTTGGTGATGGAGTCTCTGTTGGTGCTTGAGTCTCTGTTGGTGATGGAGTCTCTGTTGGTGATGGAGTCTCTGTTGATGCTGAAGTCTCTGTTGGTACTTGAGTCTCTGTTGATGATGGAGTCTCTGTTGGTGCTTGAGTCTCTGTTGTTGTCAGAGTCTCTGTTGATGATGGAGTCTCTGTTGTTGATGGAGTCTCTGATTGGTGTCAGAGTCTCTGTTGGTGTCAGAGTCTCTGTTGATGATGGAGTCTCTGTTGTTGATGGAGTCTCTGATGGTGTCAGAGTTTCTGTTGGTGTCAGAGTCTCTATTGGTGGCAGAGTCTCTGTTGGTGATGGAGTCTCTGTTGGTGATGGAGTCTCTGTTGATGATGGAGTCTCTGTTGGTGATGGAGTCTCTGTTGATGATGGAGTCTCTGTTGTGTGATGGAGTCTCTGTTTGGTGATGAGTCTCTGTTGGTGACTCTGTTGGTGCTGGAGTCTCTGTTGGTGCTAGAGTCGCTGTTGGTGCTCGAGACTCTGTTGGTGCTTGAGTCTCTGTTGGTGATGGAGTCTCTGTTGGTGATGGAGTCTCTGTTGGTCTGGAGTCTCTGTTGGTACTTGAGTCTCTGTTGATGATGAAGTCTCTGTTGGTGTCAGAGTCTCTGTTGATGATGGAGTCTCTGTTGGTGATGGAGTTCTCTGTTGGTGATGGAGTCTCTGTTGGTGATGGAGTCTCTGTTGGTGATGGAGTCTCTTGTTGATGATGAGTCTCTGTTGAATCTCTGTTGATGATGAAGTCTCTGTTGGTGATGGAGTCTCTGTTAGTGATGGAGTCTTTGCTGATGATGGAGTCTCTGTTGGTGATGGAGTCTCTGTTGATGATTGAGTCTTTGTTGGTGGAGTCTGTGGTGATGGAGTCTCTTTTGGTGATGGAGTCTCTTTTGGTGATGGAGTCTCTGTTAATGATGGAGCCTCTGTTGGTGCTTGAGTCTCTGTTGGTGATGGAATCTCTGTTGGTGATGGAGTCTCTGTTGGTGCTTGAGTCTCTGTTGGTAATGGAGTCTCTGTTGGTACTTGAGTCTCTGTTGATGATGGAGTCTCTGAGTCTTCTGTTGGTGATGGAGTCTCTGTTGGTGCTTGAGTCTTTGTTGTGTCAGAGTCTCTGTTGATTGATGGAGTCTCTGTGGTGATGAGTCAGAGTCTCTGTTGGTGATGAAGTCTCTGTTGATGATGGAGTCTCTTTTGGTGATGGAGTCTCTGTTGGTGATGGAGTCTCTGTTGGTGATGGAGATGATGGAGTCTCTGTTGGTGCTGGAATCTCTATTGATGATGAAGTCTCTGTTGGTGATGGAGTCTCTGTTAGTGATGGAGTCTTTGCTGATGATGGAGTCTCTGTTGATGATGGAGTCTCTGTTGATGATGGAGTCTTTGTTGGTGCTGGAATCTCTGTTGGTGATGGAGTCTCTTTTGGTGATCGAGTCTCTTTTGGTGATGGAGTCTCTGTTAATGATGGAGCCTCTGTTGGTGCTTGAGTCTCTGTGGGTGATGGAATCTCTGTGGGTGATGGAGTCTCTGTTGGTGCTTGAGTCTCTGTTGGTAATGGAGTCTCTGTTGGTACTTGAGTCTCTGTTGATGATGGAGTCTCTGTTGGTGCTGGAGTCTCTGTTGGTGATGGAGTCTCTGTTGGTGCTTGAGTCTTTGTTGGTGTCAGAGTCTCTGTTGATGATGGAGTCTCTGTTGGTGATGGAGTCTCTGTTGGTGTCAGAGTCTCTGTTGGTGATGGAGTCTCTTTTGGTGATGGAGTCTCTTTTGGTAATGGAGTCTCTGTTGGTGATGGAGTCTCTGTTAGTGATGGAGTCTTTGCTGATGATGGAGTCTCTTTTGGTGATGGAGTCTCTGTTGATGATGAAGTCTCTGTTGGTGATGGAGTCTCTGTTGATGATGGAGTCTCTGTTGATGATGGAGTCTCTGTTGGTGATGGAGTCTCTGTTGGTGATGGAGTCTCTGTTGGTGATGGAGTCTCTGTTGGTGATTGAGTCTTTGTTGGTGATGGGGTCTCTGTTAGTGCTTGAGTCTCTGTGTGTGATGGAGTCTCTGTTTGGTGATGGAGTCTCTGTTGGTGATGGAGTCTCTGTTGGTGATGGAGTCTCTGTTGGTGATGGAGTCTCTGTTGGTGATGGAGTCTCTGTTGGTGATTGAGTCTTTGTTGGTGATGGAGTCTCTGTTAGTGCTTGAGTCTCTGTGTGTGATGGAGTCTCTGTTGGTGATGGAGTCTCTGTTGGTGATGAGTCTGATTCTCTGTTGGTGATGGAGTCTCTGTTGGTGCTGGAGTCTCTGTTGGTGCTGGAGTCTCTGTTGATGATGAAAGTCTCTTTGGTGATGGAGTCTCTGTTTGGTGATGAAGTCTCTGTTGATGTCTCTGTTGGTGATCTCTGTTGGTGATGGAGTCTCTGTTGGTGATGGAGTCTCTGTTGGTGATGGAGTCTCTGTTGGTGATGGAGTCTCTCTTGGTGAGGGAGTCTCTCTTGGTGTTTGAGTCTCTGTTGATGATGGAGTCTCTGTTGGTGATGGAGTCTCTGTTGGTGATGGAGTTTCTCTTGGTGATGGAGTCTCTTTTGGTGATGGAGTCTCTGTTGGTACTTGAGTCTCTGTTGATGATGAAGTCTCTGTTGGTGTCAGAGTCTCTGTTGTGATGGAGTCTCTGTTGGTGATGGAGTCTCTGTTGGTGATGGAGTCTCTGTTGGTGATGGAGTCTCTGTTGATGATGGAGTCTCTGTTGGTGCTGGAATCTCTGTTGATGATGAAGTCTCTGTTGGTGATGGAGTCTCTGTTAGTGATGGAGTCTTTGCTGATGATGGAGTCTCTGTTGGTGATGGAGTCTCTGTTGATGATTGAGTCTTTTTGGTGCTGGAGTCTCTGTTGGTGATGGAGTCTCTTTTGGTGATGGAGTCTCTTTTGCTCTGTTAATGATGGAGCCTCTGTTGGTGATTGAGTCTCTGTTGGTGATGGAATCTCTTGTTGGTGATGAGTCTCTGTTGGTGGAGTCTCTGTTGTAATGGAGTCTCTGTTGGTAAGTCTCTGTTGATGATGGAGTCTCTGTTGGTGCTGGAGTCTCTGTTGGTGATGGAGTCTCTGTTGGTGCTTGAGTCTTTGTTGGTGTCAGAGTCTCTGTTGGTCTCTGTTGGTGAAGTCTCTGTTGGATGAAGTCTCTGTTGGTCTCTGTTGGTGATGGAGTCTCTGTTGGTGATGGAGTCTCTGTTGGTGATGGAGTCTCTGTTGATGATGGAGTCTCTGTTGGTGCTGGAATCTCTATTGATGATGAAGTCTCTGTTGGTGATGGAGTCTCTGTTAGTGATGGAGTCTTTGCTGATGATGGAGTCTCTGTTGATGATGGAGTCTCTGTTGATGATGGAGTCTTTGTTGGTGCTGGAATCTCTGTTGGTGATGGAGTCTCTTTTGGTGATCGAGTCTCTTTTGGTGATGGAGTCTCTGTTAATGATGGAGCCTCTGTTGGTGCTTGAGTCTCTGTTGGTGATGGAATCTCTGTGGGTGATGGAGTCTCTGTTGGTGCTTGAGTCTCTGTTGGTAATGGAGTCTCTGTTGGTACTTGAGTCTCTGTTGATGATGGAGTCTCTGTTGGTGCTGGAGTCTCTGTTGGTGATGGAGTCTCTGTTGGTGCTTGAGTCTTTGTTGGTGTCAGAGTCTCTGTTGATGATGGAGTCTCTGTTGGTGATGAGTCTCTGAGAGTCTCTGTTGGTGATGGAGTCTCTTTGGTGATGGAGTCTCTTTTGGTAATGGAGTCTCTGTTGGTGATGGAGTCTCTGTTAGTGATGGAGTCTTTGCTGATGATGGAGTCTCTTTTGGTGATGGAGTCTCTGTTGATGATGAAGTCTCTGTTGGTGATGGAGTCTCTGTTGATGATGGAGTCTCTGTTGATGATGGAGTCTCTGTTGGTGATGGAGTCTCTGTTGGTGATGGAGTCTCTGTGATGGAGTCTCTGTTGGTGATTGAGTCTTTGTTGGTGATGGGGTCTCTGTTAGTGCTTGAGTCTCTGTGTGTGATGGAGTCTCTGTTGGTGATGGAGTCTCTGTTGGTGATGGAGTCTCTGTTGGTGATGGAGTCTCTGTTGGTGATGGAGTCTCTGTTGGTGATGTCTCTGTTGGTGATTGAGTCTTTGTTGGTGATGGAGTCTCTGTTAGTGCTTGAGTCTCTGTGTGTGATGGAGTCTCTGTTGGTGATTCTCTGTTGGTGTTAGAGTCTCTGTTGGTGATGGAGTCTCTGTTGGTGATGGAGTCTCTGTTGGTGCTGGAGTCTCTGTTGGTGCTGGAGTCTCTGTTGATGATGAAGTCTCTTTTGGTGATGGAGTCTCTGTTGGTGATGAAGTCTCTGTTGGTGATGGAGTCTCTGTTGGTGACGGAGTCTCTGTTGACATGTATGGAGTCTCTCTCTGTTGTGTGGAGTCTCTGTTGATGATGGAGTCTCTGTTGGTGATGGAGTCTCTGTTGGTGATGGAGTTTCTCTTGGTGATGGAGTCTCTTTTTGTGATGGAGTCTCTGTTGATGATGGAGTCTCTGTTGGTGATGGAGTCTCTGTTGGTGCTTGAGTCTCTGTTGTGAATGGAGTCTCTGTTGGTGAGTCTCTGTTGGTGATGGAGTCTCTGTTGGTGATGTTCTGATGGAGTGTGATGGAGTCTCTGTTGGTGTTGGAGTGTGATGGAGTCTCTGTTGGTGATGGAGTGATGTCTGTTGATGATGGAGTCTCTGTATGGAGTCTCTGTTGGTGATGGAGTCTCTGTGGTGATGGAGTCCTCTGTTGGTGATGGAGTCTTTGTGATGGAGTCTCTGTTGGTGATGAGTCTCTGTTGGTGCTGGAGTCTCTGTTGGTGATGGAGTCTCTGTATGGAGTCTCTGTTGGTGATGAGTCTCTGTTGTGATGGAGTCTCTGTTGGTGATGGAGTCTCTGTTGGTGACTCCTGTTGGTGATGGAGTCTCTGTTGGTGATGGAGTCTCTGTTGGTGATGGAGTCTCTGTTGGCGATTGAGTGTCTGTTGGTGATGGAGTCTCTGTTGGTGATGGAGTCTCTGTTGGTGATGGAGTCTCTTTTGGTGATGGAGTCTCTGTTGGTGATGGAGTCTCTGTGTGTGATGGAGTCTCTGTTGGTAATGGAGTCTCTGTTGATAATGGAGTCTGATGATGGAGTCTCTGTTGACTCTGATGATCTTGAGTCTCTGTTGATGATGGAGTCTCTGTAGGTGCTTGAGTCTCTGTTGTTGATGAAGTCTTTGTTGGTGATGGAGTCTCTTTTGGTGATGGAGTCTCTGTTGGTGCTAGAGTCTCTGTGCTCTCTGTGGTGTCAGAGTCTCTGTTGGTGTCAGAGTCTCTATTGGTGATGGAATCTCTGTTTGTGTCAGAGTCTCTGTTGGTGTCAGAGTCTCTGTTGGTGATGGATTCTCTGTTGGTGATGGAGTCTCTGTTGGTGTCAGAGTCAGAGTCTCTGTTGGTGATGTCTCTGATGTCTCTGTTGGTGATGGAGTCTCTGTTGGTGATGGAGTCTCTGTTTGGTGAGATGAGTCTCTGTTGGTGATGGAGTCTCTTTTGATGATTGAGTCTCTGCTGGTGATGGAGTCTCTTTTCTTGCTTGAGTCTCTGTTGATGATGGAGTCTCATTTGGTGCTTGAGTCTCTTTTGATGATGAAGTCTCTGTTGGTGATGGAGTCTCTGTTGGTACTTGAGTCTCTTTTGATGATGAAGTCTCTGTTGGTGATGGAGTCTCTGTTGGTGCTGGAGTCTCTGTTGGTGATGGAGTCTCTGTTGGTGATGGAGTCTCTGTTGGTGATGGAGTCTCTGTGTGTGGAGTGTTGCTGGAGTCTCTGTTGGTACTTGAGTCTCTGTTAATGATGAAGTCTCTGTTGGTGCTTGAGTCTCTATTTGTGCTTGTATCTCTGTTGTTGATGAAGTCTCTGTTGGTACTTGACTCTCTGTTGATGATGAAGTCTCTCTTGGTGATGGAGTCTCTGTTGATGATGGAGTCTCTGTTGGTGATGGAGTCTCTGTTGGTGATGGAGTCTCTGTTGATGATGAAGTCTCTATTGGTGATGGAATCTCTGTTGGTGATGGAGTCTCTGTTGGTGATGGAGTCTCTGTTGGTGATGGAGTCTCTGTTGTGCTGGAGTCTCTGTTGGTGATGGAGTCCCTGTTGGTGATGGAGTCTCTGTTGATGATGAAGTCTCTGTTGGTGATGGAATCTCTGTTGGTGATGGAGTTTCTGTTGGTGATGGAGTCTCTGTTGGTGATGGAGTCTCTGTTGGTACTTGAGTCTCCTTTGGTGATGGAGTCTCTGTTGGTGATGGAGTCTCTGTTGGTGGACTGAGTCTTCTGTTGGTGATGAGTCAGTCTCTGTTGGTGATGGAGTGTCTGTTGGTGATGGAGTCTCTGTTGGTGTCAGAGTCTCTGTTGGTGTCAGAGTCTCCGTTGGTGTCAGAGTCTCTGTTGGTGATGGAATCTCTTTTGGTGTCAGAGTCTCTGTTGGTGATGGAGTCTCTGTTGGTGTCTCTGTGTGTGATGGAGTGTCTGTTGGTGATGGAGTCTCTGTGATGTGGAGTCTCTGTTGGTGATGGAGTGTCTGTTGTGATGGAGTCTCTGTTGTGATGGAGTCTCTGTTGGTGCTGGAGTCCTCTGTTGGTGATGGTCTCTTGGTGATGGAGTCTCTTTTGGTGATGGAGTCTCTGTTGGTGATGGAGTCTCTGTTGGTGATGGAGTCTCTTTTGGTGATGGAGTCTCTGTTGGTGATGGAGTCCTGTTGGTGTCAGAGTCTCTGTTGGTGATGGAGTCTCTGTTGATGATGGAGTCTCTGTTGATGATGGAGTCTCTGTTGGTACTTGAGTCTCTGTTGGTGATGGAATCTCTGTTGGTGTCAGAGTCTCTGTTGGTGATGGAGTCTCTGTTGGTGATGGAGTCTCTTTTGGTGTCAGAGTCTCTGTTGGTGTCAGAGTCTCTGTTGGTGTCAGAGTGTCTGTTGGTGTCAGAGTCTCTGTTGGTGTCAAAGTCTCTGTTGGTGTCAGAGTCTCTGTTGGTGATGGAGTCTCTGTTGGTGAGTCTGTTGGTGTCAGAGTCTCTGTTGGTGTCAGAGTCTCTGTTGGTGTCAGAGAGTCTGTTGGTGATGGAGTCTCTGTTGGTGATGGAGTCTCTGTTGGTGATGGAGTCTCTGTTGGTGATGGAGTCTCTGTTGGTGATGGAGTCTCTCTTGGTGATGGAGTCTCTGTTGGAGTGATTGGGTCTCTGTTGGTGATGGAGTGTCTGTTTTGGTGATGGAGATGTGTCTGTGTTGAGTCTCTGTTGGTGCTGGAGTCTCTGTTGGTGATGGAGTCTCTGTTGGTGATGGAGTCTCTGTTGGTGCTTGAGTCTCTGTTCGTGCTTGAGTCGCTGTTGATGATGGAGTCTCTGTTGGTGATGGAGTTTCTTTTGGTGATGGAGTCTCTGTTGGTGATGGAGTCTCTGTTGGTGATGGAGTCTCTGTTGTGAATGGAGCCTCTGTTGGTGCTGGAGTGGTGTTGGAGTCTCTGTTGGTGATGGAGTCTCTGTTGGTGATGGAGTCTCTGTTCGTGCTTGAGTCTCTGTTGATGATGGAGTCTCTGTTGGTGCTTGAGTCTCTGTTGATGATGGAGTCTCTGTTGGTGATGGAGTCTCTGTTGGTGATAAGTTCTCTGTTGGTGATGGAGTCTTTGGTTGGAGTTCTGTTGGTGATGGAGTCTCTGTTGGTGCTGGAGTCTCTGTTGGTGATGGAGTCTCTGTTGATGATTGATTCTCTGTTCGTGCTTGAGTCTCTGTTGATGATTGAGTCTCTTTTGGTGATGGAGTCTCTGTTGGTGCTTGAGTCTCTGTTGGTGCTTGAGTCTCTGTTGGTGCTGGAGTCTCTGTTGGTACTTGAGTCTCTGTTAATGATGAAGTCTCTGTTGGTGCTTGAGTCTTTGTTGGTGCTTGAATCTCTGTTGGTGATGGAGTCTCTGTTGGTACTTGAGTCTCTGTTGATGATGGAGTCTCTGTTGGTGATTGAGTCTCTGTTGGTGATGGAGTCTCTGTTGATGATGAAGTCTCTGTTGGTGATGGAGTCTCTGTTGGTGATGGAGTCTCTGTTGGTGATGGAGTCTCTGTTGATGTGTATGAGTCTCTGTTGGTGCTCCAGAGTCTCTGTTGATGGAAGTCTCTCTCTGTTGTGATGGAGTTTCTGTTGGTGATGGAGTCTCTGTTGGTGATGAGTCTCTGTCTCTGTTGGTGATGTCTGTTTGGTGATGGAGTCTCTGTTGGTGATGGAGTCTTTGTTGGTGATGGAGTCTCTTTTTGCTTGTTGGTGGGTCTTTGTTGGTGATGGAGTCTCTTTTGGTGATGGAGTCTCTGTTGGTGATGGAGTCTCTGTTGGTGATGGAGTCTCTGTTGATGATGAAGTCTCTGTTGGTGCTGGAGTCTCTGTTGGTGATGGAATCTCTGTTGATGATGGAGTCTCTGTTGGTGATGGAGTCTCTGTTTGTGATGGAGTCTCTGTTGATGATTGAGTCTCTGTTGGTGATGGAGTCTTTGTTGGTGCTAGAGTCTCTGTTTGTGATGGAGTCTCTTTTGGTGATGGAGTCTCTGTTGGTGCTGGAGTCTCTGTTGGTGCTGGAGTCTCTGTTGGTGATGGAGTCTCTGTTGGTGATGGAGTCTTTGTTGATGATGAAGTCTCTGTTGATGATGGAATCTCTGTTGATGATGGAGTCTCTGTGGGTGATGGAGTCTCTGTTGATGATGGAGTCTCTGTTGGTGATGGAGTCTCTGTTGGTGAGGGAGTCTCTGTTAATGATGGAGTCTTTGTTGATGATGGAGTCTCTGTTGGTGATGAAGTCTCTGTTGGTGCTGGAGTCTTTGTTGGTGAGGGAGTCTCTGTTAATGATGATGGAGTCTTTGTTGATGATGGAGTCTCTGTTGCTGATGAAGACTCCTTTGGTGCTTGAGTCTCTGTTGGTGATGGAGTCTCTTTTGTTGCTGGAGTCTCTGTTGGTGATGGAGTCTCTGTTGATGATTGAGTCTCTGTTGATGATGAAGTCTCTGTTGGAGATGGAGTCTCTGTTGGTGATGGAGTCTCTGTTGGTGATGGAGTCTTTGTTGGTGTTAGAGTCTCCGTTGATGATGAAGTCTCTGTTGGTGATGGAGTCTCTGTTAATGATTGAGTCTTTGTTGGTGCTAGAGTCTCTGTTGGTGATGAAGTCTCTGTTGGTGATGGAGTCTTTGCTGGTGATGGAGTCTCTGTTGGTGATGGAGTCTCTGTTGGTGCTGGAGTCTTTGTTGATGCTAGAGTCTCTGTTGGTGATGGAGTCTCTGTTTGTGATGGAGTCTCTGTTGGTGATGGAGTCTTTGTTGGTGCTAGAGTCTCTGTTGGTGATGAAGTCTCTGTTGGTGATGGAGTCTCTGTTGGTGATGGAGTCTCTCTGTTGGTGATGAAGTCTCTGTTGGTGATTGAGTCTCTGTTGGTGCTAGAGTCTCTGTTGGTGATGGAGGCTCTGTTGGTGATGGAGTGTCTGTTGGTGCTAGAGTCTCTGTTGGTGATGGAGTCTCTGTTGAGTCTCTGTTGATGATGGAGTCTCTGTTGGTGATGGAGTCTTTGTTGGTGATGGAGTCTCTGTTGGTGATGAAGTCTCTGTTGGTGATGGAGTCTCTGTTGTTGCTAGAGTCTCTGTTGGTGATGGAGGCTCTGTTGGTGATGGAGTCTTTGTTGGTGCTAGAGTCTCTTTTGGTGATGAAGTCTCTGTTGGTGATGGAGTCTTTGTTGGTGCTAGAGTCTCTGTTGGGGATGGAGGCTCTGTTGGTGATGGAGTCTTTGTTATTGCTGGAGACTTTGTTGCTTCTGGAGTCTCTGTTGATGATGGAGTCTTTGTTGGTGCTGTTGGTGGCACTGGTTCTGTATGTTCTGTGTTGTCCGTTATTGGATTCTTACTAAGTGTTGGAGCTATCACTGATATTTTAGGTACTGTTGGCGTTTTTTTCATCGGTGATACAAAAGTGTTTGTTAATTCGCTAGTTTCTATGAATGAGTGTGATATTGGATTCGTTGTTGACACCGGAGACTTCGTTGATCTTGGAATTTCCTTTGATGAATTTGCCGTTGTTTCTATTTCCATCGATTTTGAGGATGCTGATGAGGCGGTTGTCTCTGTTGGCGCTGGAGTCGTTCCTGAAGTTGGAACATTTGTTGGCGTTAGTGCCTCTGCTGATATCAGAGTCTCTCTTGATGTCGGGCTTGCTGATACAACAGCCCCTGTTGATGCTATAGCTTCTGTCGATGCTTTACTTGTTAGCTTATAAACTTCTGATGATGAGGTCGTTGTCGAGTTTATGGTGTTAATTACTGATGATGGTGTTGTTAATGTGTTCTTCACTGCTGAGGTTGGTGTTATTGCTGATGATGATTTATTTCCTGATGTAGTATTCGTCGTTAATATTGCAATTGTAGTCAGTCTTGGAACTGTTAATGCCGAGGTCTTTGTTGCTGCTGTTGCATTCTTGCTGAATGTTGTTGCTGCTGTGGTTAATTCTGCATGGATTGTTGAAGAATGATTATCAGTTGAAAGAGATGAAGCAGATATATTCTGAATTCTTGTTGTAATCAGAGTTGTTGTTTTTAGGTTAGGCGTTGGCACAGTAGTCTTTAGCAGGGAGGTATTTGCCATGAGTGTTGTAGTTCTTGAGATTGGAGGAGGTGTAGAATAAGGCATATCCATACACATACACAGACCCTTTGAATCAGGATAAACATTTCTGATTGGTCTGACAAGCTGTGAGTCTGGGCAGACAGCATTCATGTTGACTCGGACAATTATGTTCGGACCATGTACCTGAGTGTCTTCAATCTCTAAACTAATACCTTGTGATTCACTTATTTCGTCACATTGCTTTTGAATGTTGACGTCATATTTCATAAGTAACTTCATGAATAGCTGTAGTTCTCCTTCAATTGTTCTTCCATTTTCGTACAATAACTGCCAGACTGAAGGCCTGTCCATAAGGTTTCCAAAGCAAGCTGTTTTCAAAGAATTCGACATGGTATTCAAGATTCTGATAACAGAATCGCTGAGGTCCTGGTACTGACGCAGGGTGTCATCAACGCCTGCATCATAGCAAGGTTCCAACAATCGAATCGACGAAAAAAGAATCGCCCGGAGGGAACAGCCTGTGATAGAGCGGCCGTTACGATCTGGGAGGCAGTGGTAACAGCCCGAAAAAA